AGTGTGTCAGATGTTGCCTGGAGTGTGTCAGGTGGTGCAGGTGTTGCCAGGAGTGTGTCAGGTGGTGCAGGTGTTGCCAGGAGTGTGTCAGGTGATGCAGGTGTTGCCAGGAGTGTGTCAGGTGGTGCAGGTGTTGCCTGGAGTGTGTCAGGTGGTGCAGGTGTTGCCAGGAGTGTGTCAGGTGGTGCAGGTGTTGCCAGGAGTGTGTCAGGTGGTGCAGGTGTTGCCAGGAGTGTGTCAGATGATGCAGGTGTTGCCAGGAGTGTGTCAGGTGGTGCCAGGAGTGTGTCAGGTGTTGCCAGGAGTGTGTCAGGTGGTGCAGGTGATGCCAGGAGTGTGTCAGGTGGTGCAGGTGTTGCCAGGAGTGTGTCAGGTGATGCAGGTGTTGCCAGGAGTGTGTCAGGTGGTGCAGGTGTTGCCTGGAGTGTGTCAGGTGTTGCCAGGAGTGTGTCAGGTGTTGCCAGGAGTGTGTCAGGTGGTGCAGGTGTTGCCAGGAGTGTGTCAGGTGGTGCAGGTGTTGCCTGGGGTGTGTCAGGTGGTGCAGGTGTTGCCAGGAGTGTGTCAGGTGGTGCAGGTGTTGTCAGGAGATTGTCAGGTGGTGCAGGTGTTGCCAGGAGTGTGTCAGGTGGTGCAGGTGTTGCCAGGAGTGTGTCAGGTGGTGCAGGTGTTGCCAGGAGTGTGTCAGGTGGTACAGGTGTTGCCAGGAGATTGTCAGGTGGTGCAGGTGTTGCCAGGAGTGTGTCAGGTGGTGCAGGTGTTGCCAGGAGTGTGGCAGGTGTTGCCAGAAGTGTGTCAGGTGGTGCAGGTGTTGCCAGGAGTGTGTCAGGTGGTGCAGGTGTTGCCAGGAGATTGTCAGGTGGTGCAGGTGTTGCCAGGAGTGTGTCAGGTGTTGCCTGGAGTGTGTCAGGTGGTGCAGGTGTTGCCAGGAGTGTGTCAGGTGGTGCAGGTGTTGCCAGGAGTGTGTCAGGTGGTGCAGGTGTTGCCAGGAGTGTGTCAGGTGGTGCAGGTGTTGCCAGGAGTGTGTCAGGTGGTGCAGGTGTTGCCATGAGTGTGTCAGGTGGTGCAGGTGTTGCCTGGAGTGTGTCAGGTGGTGCAGGTGTTGCCAGGAGTGTGTCAGGTGGTGCAGGTGTTGTCAGGTGGTGCAGGTGTTGCCAGGAGTGTGTCAGGTGGTGCAGTTGTTGCCTGGAGTGTGTCAGGTGGTACAGGTGTTGCCAGGAGTGTGTCAGGTGTTGCCAGGAGTGTGTCAAGTGGTGCAGGTGTTGCCTGGAGTGTGTCAGGTGGTGCAGGTGTTGTCAGGAGTGTGTCAGGTGGTGCAGGTGTTGCCAGGAGTGTGTCAGGTGGTGCAGGTGTTGCCAGGAGTGTGTCAGGTGTTGCCTGGAGTGTGTCAGGTGGTGCAGGTGTTGCCAGGAGTGTGTCAGGTGGTGCAGGTGTTGCCAGGAGTGTGTCAGGTGGTGCAGGTGTTGCCAGGAGATTGTCAGGTGGTGCAGGTGTTGCCAGGAGTGTGTCAGGTGGTGCAGGTGTTGCCAGGAGTGTGTCAGGTGGTGCAGGTGTTGCCAGGAGTGTGTCAGGTGGTGCAGGTGTTGCCAGGAGATTGTCAGGTGGTGCAGGTGTTGCCAGGAGTGTGTCAGGTGTTGCCAGGAGTGTGTCAGGTGGTGCAGGTGATGCCAGGAGTGTGTCAGGTGGTGCAGGTGTTGCCTGGAGTGTGTCAGGTGTTGCCAGGAGTGTGTCAGGTGGTGCAGGTGTTGCCAGGAGTGTGTCAGGTGGTGCAGGTGTTGCCTGGAGTGTGTCAGGTGGTGCAGGTGTTGCCTGGAGTGTGTCAGGTGGTGCAGGTGTTGCTAGGAGTGTCAGGTGGTGCAGGTGTTGCCAGGAGTGTGTCAGGTGGTGCAGGTGTTGCCAGGAGATTGTCAGGTGGTGCAGGTGTTGCCTGGAGTGTGTCAGGTGGTGCAGGTGTTACCAGGAGTGTGTCAGGTGGTGCAGGTGTTGCCAGGAGTGTGTCAGGTGGTGCAGGTGTTGCCAGGAGTGTGTCAGGTGGTGCAGGTGTTGCCAGGAGTGTGTCAGGTGGTGCAGGTGTTGCCAGGAGTGTGTCAGGTGTTGCCTGGAGTGTGTCAGGTGGTGCAGGTGTTGCCTGGAGTGTGTCAGGTGTTGCCTGGAGTGTGGCAGGTGGTGCAGGTGTTGCCTGGAGTGTGGCAGGTGGTGCAGGTGTTGCCTGGAGTGTGGCAGGTGTTGCCAGGAGTGTGTCAGGTGGTGCAGGTGTTGCCTGGAGTGTGGCAGGTGTTGCCAGGAGTGTGTCAGGTGGTGCAGGTGTTGCCAGATTGTCAGGTGGTGCAGGTGTTGCCTGGAGTGTGTCAGGTGGTGCAGGTGTTGCCAGGAGTGTGTCAGGTGGTGCAGGTGTTGCCAGGAGTGTGTCAGGTGAGTGTGTGTTGCCTGGAGTGTGTCAGGTGGTGCAGGTGTTGCCTGGAGTGTGTGTTGCAGGTGTTGCCAGGAGTGTGTCAGGTGGTGCAGGTGTTGCCTGGAGTGTGTCAGGTGGTGCAGGTGTTGCCAGGTGCAGTGTTGCCAGGAGTGTGTCAGGTGGTGCAGGTGTTGCCAGGAGTGTGTCAGGTGGTGCAGGTGTTGCCAGGAGTGTGTCAGGTGTTGCCTGGAGTGTGTCAGGTGGTGCAGGTGTTGC